AAAAATAAAATTAAAAAAAAACAACAAAAAAAACTATGTACATGGGTTTTTCTTTCTTTTTGTATACAACAAGTTGCCTAACACCAAAACAGTGCACCTCTCATTAAAATTACTTTAGGAGACAGTTTGATATTGCTAAGATAATGAGAATAATCAAGAGTTTAAATTCCCCAAGATAGATATGAAGGAGAATTAAAAATAAATTAAATTTAAATACATTAAGATATATTTGCTTTTTAAATTATCTAAACCACCATTTTTCCCTTAAAACCAATTATAGTTACTAAATGAGAATAGAAAATATTCACAACAGATGTAAAATTAAAGGCTAATGACTGTTGCCACTTATTTAAAATATCAATAAATATCTCTATTTTACAAACTATTGAAAAATTAAAATGCCCTAGTTGTTTCATAAAGATAAACTTAACAAATATGTATTACCATTAATTATTATAACCTACTATTACTAACATAAAAAGATATCATATACTAAATGTCAATTAGTCAAATAAATGGCACTTAAGAGAAATTACTTACATGTAATTATTCTTAGGTGAATGAACAGAAAGACTTTCCTAATAAAGGTTATGGTGACTGGTCAGATTTTCTTCTACCATTTCTAAGAGATACTTTCTTGTACAGTGTCTTCTTCTTTTTTTTCTTGTACCATTTCTAAGACATATTAACATATACACCCTTCCCTTCTTATACAAAGGAAAAGATGATCTACTGCATTTTTCAAAGCATAAGTAGAGAAAATGTCAGTGTTTGCTTAGGCTAACATCTTCAGGTAACTTAGAGCAATTGCACACAGTGTACAATCATTCAGATATTACCCTTACTTAAAATAATAAATCATTATTAATTATAACTGTTAATAAATAACAAGAACAAAAAAGGAACAGTGATCCCCCGGCCCCCAATGTTCCAGAAAGCAGCAAAGGAAACGATTAGATTCTGAGTAAACCATTCTAAAACTGGAAACTACTGGAAAATAACCTGGACTTTCTGGAAAAAGCATTTACTATTGAAATTCACTAACAGTACCACAAATAAAAATCAAATGGTTGCATTTCCTTATGATGCTATACAAATTAATATGATATTTAATATAATGGTTAATATAATATGTGTTTGTGTCTGCCATATTTAGGAAGAATAGGTTTTTCTGAAGTATCCGGTTCATCAAATCTGGGTTTCTAAATAAAATGCTAATGTCTATAAAAAGTGGTTCATTACAGAAATGTAGTAAACCATAATAAAATTCAGAAATTTAAAAAAATAAACAGTATTATTATAAGTAGCATAACTATAAAATACTATTAAAAAGTGCTGCACCAGCCCGGTTGGTGTGGCTTGGTGTTGGGCACTGTCCTATGAACCCTGAGGTTGGAGTTCCATTCACAGTCAGGGCACATGCCCAGGTTATGGGCTCAATCCCCAATGTGGGGTGTGCAGGAGGCAGCCGATCAATGATTTGCTTTCATTATTAATGTTTCTATCTTTCCCTCTCCCTTCCTCTCTGAAATCAATTAAAAAAAAAAAAAGTGCTGCACTTGAATTTCATTATTAGTTGCTTTAATGGTAACCAGAAAGGAAGGTAGAGAAGAAAAGGTTAAACCATCATTAGGAGGGAAAAACAGCAATCTACAATTAGGCTATAGAAAATCTCTTTCTATGCCCTGGCCAGTTTGGCTCAGTGGATAGAGTATCAGCCTAATGACTGAGGGGTCCCGGGTTCGGTTCCAGTCAGGGGCATGTACCTTGGTTGCAGGCACGTCCCCAGTGGGGGGTGTGCAGGAGGCAGCTGATCGATGTTTCTAACTCTCTATCTCTCTCCCTTCCTCTCTCTGTAAAAAAATCAATAAAATATATATTTAAAAAAAAAAGAAAATCTTTTTCTAAATTATTACCATAATCAGAGCAGATAAATTTCATTAAATTAGATAAAATTAAGTTCATTTTACCTGTGCAGAGGTAATGTAACCATGTAAGTTTCCTTCCACTGAAATGCTGGCTGTAAAATAATTCAAACTGTAAAAAATTAAAAAAGTCAAATTATTTTCCGCTACTGTAACAACTTACCTGGCTATTACTACATTAAAAAAAGTTTTTAAAAAGTTCGTGTTATAAAAAGACATTATACCCCATTAGGTATATCTACTTGTTTTACACATGAGAAAACACATCTGTGCAAGTCTCTAAACAACATATGAAAATTACTCCAGCTCTTTTCTCTTACAACCTTGTCCAGAATACTTTCTACTAAAATGCAGCCCTGCAAATTTGACTTTTTCTATAAAATCAGAAATAACATAGCGATTCAATATCATTTTTTAAAGTTATCAATTCAGACTTTATAAATATTAATTACAAACCAAAACACTATCATAAATTTCAATATGAAAATACAAGTCATACTTTTATTTCTCATCTATTTGTCAATGTATATACCTTTGCTGAAGGAGAGGTTACCTATAAAGTGACATCCAATATTTAACTTCCACATCCAGTTGAACACTAATACAAGCAAAACTTCAGAGTACTTGTCTTTGTATTTTCTCTTGTTCATATTATTACAAAAAATTAACTTTAATATTCTATTATTGTAACTTTTAAAAAATTCATTTGTTGGACTGAATGTGCAATAGTAGGACACCAGTCCAAAAAACACAGATCATATCTTTTATTTATTTATTATTATTTTATATTCTTTAGAGAGGAAGGGAGGGAGAGAATGAGGGAAGGAGATAGAAAAAACATCAATTTGTTGTTCCACTTATTTATGCATTCATCTGACCAGGGAATGAATCTGCCATCTTGGCATATCAGGTCAACACTCTAACCAACTGAGCTACCCAGCCAGGACACGTTATTATCTTTTAATGAGATATTACATAATATAGTGAGAAAATAAAACTGAAACATTAAAAAAATAAAAAATCAACTTTACTGCAAAACTGAATACACAAATGTCACAATTCAGAATTGTGGACAGACTTTATTTAAGATTTTTTATTGATTTTAACAGAGAGAGGGAGCAGGAGAGAGAGAAACATCAATTGGCTGCCTCTTGCACACCCCCTACCGGGGATCAAGCCCACAACTCGGGGATGTGCCCTGACTGAGGATCAAATCAGTAACCTTTCAGTGCTCTGGACAACACCCAACCAACTGAGCCACACTGGCCAGAGTGTGGACAGACATTTTAGAATGATGTATCACTGTGTCATATGTAATATTAGAGGCCTGGTGCACAAATTCAGGCACACGTGGGGTCCAGCTGGCCCACCCCAATAGGGGCCAACTGAGGCTGCACCAGCCAGGGGGAGGGAACGCAGGAGGTTGGCCACAGCCCTGCCCCTTGGTCAAACTCCCGGTCGAGGAGACAATTTGCATATTAGCCTTTTATTACCTAGGATATCTAAAACTTTTATTTGTATATCAAACTTTACCATTTGTACTTTCAAAACGAAGTTTAAATAAAGCAATTAGTAACATCTGACCTGCCAGCTGCACTATGTCCACTCATTACAACAAAACTGATCACTCTCAGCCAAGGAAATTAATAAATTCTTTCAGCAGTTTATTCCAACTTGGCTTACTCCTAGGAAACTCAAATTTGTTAAGCATGTTTTCCCTTCAAGAGTGCATCATTCTCCTCTATGAGCAAATCCATCAAACACTTTGCATGATAAACAGGAAATGACTAGCACTTGGAATACTTAAGATTTTCTTCCTGGTTCTAATGTAGATAAAGAGAAAATAAAAATATGTCACAAGAGAAAACTAAGATGGCGACATAGATAAACACCGGGAAATTTCTGCCTCCCACAACAACTTCAAAAATACAACAAAAAGACAAAACGGACATCATCCAGAACTACAGGAAGGCTGGCTGAGTGGAAATTCTACAACTAGAAGGAAAGAGAAAAACACACTGAGAGCCAGAGGAGCTGCGGAAGTAAAGTGCAGAGGTA